TATTTTTCTTCTATTGACAACCAGATGATTCCCAATGATTCCTCTTCTACTCCATGTACTATTGATGTGCTCTTTATTTCTCTAAGAACTCAATCTATTTGCTCAGTATCGTAGAGTGAAAGCCATTTTGAAAGGCCTGTATATTTACAATTTAGAAGGTAAATTGGGAGTGGCATATGATGGCAGCTCCCAGACACACTTTGGGATGGACGTGAAGAGATCTGTAACACAAGGAACCTGAGCGTTAGGGTTAAAATGGACAAGGTGACCTCAGACAGACTACTTCACTTCCTTGGATTTGTGGTATCGTATGGGTTTATGATTTGAAGGGCAACAGTTCATATCAAGCAGAGGTCATGATTTCAGTCATCTTGTGTCTAAGAACAGCAGCTCTGAAGCAGAGGACAGAGCCCACCTGTGTAGTGTCAAGCCTGTGCCTGAGGTCTGCAGTGCTAGGAGGGGAGCTTTCAGATATGTGGGCTTGTTACAGAAAACAATCTTATTTCCAGATGCCAGCAAAGCTGAGTGTGCTTTTGTGTACAGCATGGCTAAATGACTCTTGAGTATCTCTAATCTCCCTTTGGGGAACTTACTAAACTCCTACCAAGATCCTGCTGGGATTTTATCTCAGCATTAACTGTGATTACTGGGCTTCTGCCTTCATGTATGGGAAACTGTATGGACTTGGCTGATGATCGAGCGTCAGGTCTCTGAGCCTGATGAGCCCTCTGGTGTGAAAAGCCACGAATCACAGTATGGAAACTGGCTTGAAACCCTACTTGCCGCAGTTTACAAGACACAGCATGTCCTCTACCCATGAGCCAGTCTAAGAGTGGCTTCTCCTTAATGAGGAAAGAGTGTGGGAAAGTGGATGCAAGTGGACGTGCCCCAGTTTATACGCTGAAACCCTGAGCTCAATGTGACACTATTAGGAAATGGTGCCTTCAGGAAGGTGATTAGGTCATGAGGTAGAGCACTCAGGAATAGGATTAGTAGGATTATTTTTTTAAATCCCGGATAAAGAAAAAGAAGTCAGCCTCAGAAAAGGGCTCTCACCAGAGCCCCACTGCACTGGCATCCAGATCTTAAACTTTAGGCTCCAGAACTATGAGAAATAACTGTTGTTTATAAGCTATCCAGTCTAGAGTACTTGTTATAGCAGCTGAGAAACAGTGAGAAAAGGAAGAACCTTACAGGGCTACAAAGAAATTTCACTTGACCAGGAAGAATCAGATGATTCCCAGGGCCTCCTTCTATTTGTCTCTTCTACAGTAGATATTGGTAGTGATAGGAACAAGGCAATAGATGGGGCTCAAGATGGAAATACTGTATGTTCTTTTAGGAAGTGTTTGATAATACTTCCTAATATCTATGCCGCTCTATTATAAAATACTTTCCAAAGATTGCTTATTTGATTCTCTACACTCGTACACTGTGAATAGAGGGCAGTGGGCTAAATCTAATGCCAATGTGCCAATTTAACTTCTCTGCAGTTAAACAACTGAACCACTAAGTCAGGTAGTCAACGGAAGCTGACAGTCAGCTGCAGGTTCCAAGTCCATAGTTCTTTCCATTGTGGAAAGACTCCGGAGTATCATTCCAGGGGGCTGGCTCTCCAGGGATGTTTCACACACATCCTGGAAGAGGGCACTGCAGGGCTGAGAGGATGCTGGAGCCGGACAGTGGGGGATGCAGGCAGCTACCTTGGCGCTGGCTGAAGGAGTTAGAACCCTGGCACCTAGAAAACATCTGCCACCAACACTCCCATCTCAACCTTCAGTAGCCTATCAGAAATGTTCTGACAGGAGAGGTGCAGGTTAAAGGGAGCTTGCACTACAGTGGGGGAGCTCAGGGAAGGAACCCACTTCTTTCTCCACCCCCCTTAGTTATACTTGCACATGCATGTGTGGTATGATTGGCATGTTTACTTTTTTCTAAAACTTAAAGCTCTAAATGAGAACGGGTTAACCATTATGGCAGGGCAGGAGGTGGGGGTAGGGACCAGCTGTTATCAACAAGGAGCCATGAACAGCCTCCTCAAGGCCTCACACATCCCTGGGGATGAGGGAACAGGTCATCCTGTGAGCCCCTTGAGATGGGGCAAGAGAGTACTAAGAGCTTTTCACTTTAAAAGTGCAGGAATATTGGTTATACATTTTAAAATGCAGAGACAATGACCTAAAAAATCAACATAGATAACACTCTAAATTCTTATCATACAGTTGGCAAACTGTGACAGGACTAACTGCTGCACTTCCTTTAAGAGTGTTGTGTATGAACAAGATTCTGATAAGGGCAGGGTGCTGCTCCTTTAGAAGCCTCGTAGTTCAGTACTACCACACACCCTCATCATTTTTTCCTAGAAAAATCTGACTGCTTAAAACAAGTCAAATAGAAATACCTTAGATGCCCATGAAAATATAAAAAATCCTGTACAAAAAGAGTTGTCAAAGGACTTGCTCTGGATATATACATATGTATCCAAGCGGCAGTATTACTTGCTTTTGAAGACACAAGCCTTAGAACCAGACTGGGTGTTCTCGGTTCCTCCTTACGCCAGCTGTGAGACCTCAAGCAAGCTACTTAACCTCTCTGTGCCCTTTCCTCACCTGTGGAAGGAAGATAATGGCGCCTACCTCATGGGGTTATTAGAAGGATTAGGTGGATTAATACATGTAAAGCACTTAAAACAGTGTCTGGCACACAGCCAAAATAGGCTCTCAAATTAATTGCTTACTGCAGCTCTCTGAGTATTTCAAGGTTCTGATGCTGTTACCTGGCGTCTGAGACAAGTTTGTCAATTTCTCTAATTTCACTTACATAGTCTGAAGGGATAACATTTTGCTGTGAGTAAATCTGATTGCAGAGCTGTGCTGTGACGATCATGTGCAGTCTGATCACAGGGAAGACTGAGGGTTTTTCACAAGCGCTGAAGGGGAGAGGGGTCCCTTAGGAGTCTCAAACAGAAGCTCCTTTTGCATAGGAGGGCAGGCAGGTGGAGAATTCCAGCCTTTGCCATATAGAGCACTGAAAATAGGAAAACCTCAAACTGGGGTTATCTGAAAGCTTTAAGAGTTCTTTTGAGACCAACTACCGCACAGAAATTGGTGTGTTTTTTTTTGTTTTTTGCAGATTGGATGAAGAACCACCAAGTGCCAAAGGGAAAGTAAAAATCCCATGGCTCAGGATGCCTTTAGTCAAAGGAACCCACAGTTTCATCTGACGTGCCACAGGATGCCTCTTCACTCCTCCTGTTCAATGTATTATGAACCTAAGACAAATTACAAGACATAGCCTGTCATAAACGCCACAATTAAATCTGCCACACAGACGTCCCAGTAATTTCCTGTGCTGATTACTGCTTCCTTTCCACTTTGTCCTATCAGTGCTTCAGCTCTGTTCTTCCAAGGCAAAGCCCCAGCACAGGAAACCTGCAGAAAGACTTGTAGGAACTCTCAGCGCAGCCCCATCACACTGCAGACCTGTGCTAGACCTGCAGGGGCCCATTTCCCACTGACTCCAAAAAGTGCTTTGGAATCTGCTCCTTCCAGACAACTGCTCTTCCATTTTAAACAGGCTTCCACCTAACTATTCATTCACCATGCCTGGAGCTTACTGCACAAGTCACCTTTAACAAGCTCACATACCTGGAAACCACCTCCCCCAATTTCCTTGGAGAATAATTTCAAGAAAGATAGAACAGCATAAAACCACACCATTGCAGTAACCCCAATTTACACTTATTAACAATTTATTAGGCATTATCCTTTCCATTTGTAATCGATTAAGGCAAAGAAGCTTACTGTCTGGTTCTCACACAATCAGCCAAACAAAGCAAGAATGAGGATGCTTTACCTACATAACACCATGCACAATCACATGATTCTAGTGACCCAAGGTAGGGAAGTCCCCTAGTTAAAAAAAAATTTAATTAAAAAAAAAAGCCTGTGTTCTGCCATTGGCTGTTACCCAAAGGTTTCACACTCTAGTGTCTTCCCATGAGATCTCTGGCCTGTACCGTAATTCTAAGAATCAGTGGGTTAAACAGGAATACACACACAAGCCCCAGCCACTCTCAAAAGATGCCAGTAATCTTTCAACTACATAGGGCTTCAAATCATTAGATGAGGGATGGCAATCCTTTGCAATCCGCCATCAAAATAAGTGCCTTTGCCAGACAGAAATATATTCAGAAATTCAGCTAATACAGCAGTCTACTGACCTTTAATTCAATCATACTTTTAAAAAGTTAATGACACTTTCTAAAATCTGGAGCTATCTTTTCAGAGTTAAAGAAATGTCAAATTCTTTTGGTTCTCTGTGGGAAAAAGTTTAAAGAATATATTCAAGCAAAGTAAAAGAAAGAAAAGGGTAGAGTTGACTTTGCTCATGCTGTGCTCTGTAGCAGCTGCTCATTTGAAATGAACACCTGAGGCCAGAAAACAGCTCATCCCAACCCAAGCATCCCAGCATCTTAAATGAGAGAACATTAGGATGACTCAAATAAGGAAAAACAGACCAGCCAAAGTTTAACTGAGTTTTATTGTCCACTTTTTGTATTTTTCAAATTATACAACATGCAGTCTGCCAGAGTATCCATACATCTTCATTTTAGAACCTAGGAGATAACCAAAATTTTCCACAGGCCAGGGGAGGGTTATTTCCAGGTCTTTTATGACACATACTATGGTATCACATTGTTACTTGATACAAACTGCCAGTCTCCCCCGAAAACCACCAGAACAAGTTTGTCCACAATTTTTTAAAAAATGAAAGCTACTGTACAGATACATAAAACCCAGAGAACACAAATCTGCAGTACACAGGACACGCTTTACAAACTAGACATATATAATTCTACAGAATGCCCTATTCCCCTTATATCTGCACACAATGAAAAGTATTTAAAATTGATACACAATTTTTTAGTAAGTAAGCAGACTTCACAGATCGCTGCTTTCTCCAGCAGTTACCTGGCCCTTATTTAACATTTTTTTTTTAAAAAAGAGTCTAAATTGTCAATGTTAAAATAAACAGTATTAGAAATATGGTTCCTTTAGTTTGCTCACTATAATTAGGATAATACAATGAAGTGAAATCTCTCTACCCTCTGCAAATGAAAAACATTCCTAATATATATTCTCCCTAGTGTCCAAATGACTCCTGACTTATTCAAATGTACGCTTCAAAAGGGGGCACTGTTGAAAGCTTTCATTTGCTTTTGGTTATTTCTACAGGAAAGTGGAACTGAATCTACTGAGTCCTGGTGAAAAATTAGTTCTGTATGTGAACTTGAGGACTTCAGAAAACCACTAGACACTACATTCTAGACAATCATTTTTATTTCCTCATTTATTCTAATATTTTCATAAATTCTCATCTTCTTAATCATATCATTGTTTCCTTTAAAAGTCAAAACCACCCTTATTGTTCTGTCTACCACCTGCCATTCAACAAAAGCAAAGTGTACAGCATTTAACAGATGATATGTGTATATAGAATTCTCTAGTAATTGACCAAAATGTATTTGGCACTACTGTAATATATTTTTGGTCCCAACCAAAAATCTTGACATCTTAAACAGCATTCCTCTAATTTAGCAATTTACCATCCTGCAGGTAGATGTTATTTTTGTTAACCATCGTGCTATTCCGATAGCATCAAAGAATAAACTATTAAGAAGTGATATGAACTATAAAATTATTCAAAGGAGAAAAACACACAAACTAGCAAAAAGGAACATATAACAAAAATTTAATCAGACATGGGCTCAGAAATGTAAATTTTACATTGGTACACGGGGCAATAAGTGTTTAAAAAATGGAAATTGCATAAATTCAGCATTTTTAAAAAAGAATATGTGGTCCTGATATAAGAAGCAGCTTATGGGCCGGGGATTTAGCTCAGCGGTTCGGTGGCCTGCCTTGCAAGCACAAGGACCCGAGTTCAATCCCCGGTACCAAAAAAAAAAAAAAAAAAAAAAAGAAGCAGCTTATTACACAAAGTAGTATTTAGGGATCCATTTGAATGAATTATAATCTATTCTAATGATCTGCCTACCTTTTAGTCACAGTGTAAGAAAATTAGATTAGAGGTCCTGTAAAGACTGAAGCTAGGTGAACTGACTGGCTGATCAGCAACTAGCAGAATTATCTTTAGAAGACATCAAAGCCAACTTTCTCTGTGAATAAAAGTAGACCGAATTTTGTAAGGCCCTTGTAGAGATCAAGTAATATGGAACTACAAGTGAATGTTTCTTTTTAAAACATGAAAGGGCCAGCCAATTCTTCAGAAGTAGAAAAGGGGTACCCACGGAGAAATGACTTTGGAATGAAGCTAAAATAATCCATTTTATAATGGCTGTTAACAAAAGTCCCTCCTCTTAAAAAAAACTACCAATCTTTGTTCAATTCACAAACACACACAAAGTAATTCGATTGCCTAATAGACAATAGTAAGTGGTATGTACTGACAATCACTTAATCAGCAACTCTCTCAAAGACTGTTTTAGATTCCAAAGTCAGAGGCAAACATATCACCAACAAAGTTATAATCTGTGGCATGTTATTACCCGATAAAGCTTGCAAAACCTGCCCTGCAAGGACCCTTCTATCAGACTGCAAATAAGTGCTCAAGCAGTTAGTGCCCAAGCAGTGATTGGGCAGACAATGGTAACACAATCAGGATGAAAAAAAAATTAATGAATGTAAATTTGTCATCTATATGAATTAAATACTTGAATAAAATTCATCCTTTTCATACTCCCCCAAAACAAAACACACATAGACAAAGTGCAACATTTAACAAATAAGTTAAATCCAAGCAGCATTACTGTAAGGGAAAATTTATACATGAAGAATTTGAAAGTCAATGCACAGCACTTTGCACTTTACACTCACACACACACACACACACACACACACACACACACACACACACACGAACTATCTTTGGCCCACATGGCCATGAGAAAACCCAGTCTCCCCTGGCATACACTTCATTCCAACGGTGACAGCTGCAGGTGGCAGTGCCAGCTCAAACATCTTGGGCATGTATGATAACAGGATGGGTGCTTTCACCAGGACTGGTTGGGTTGCTGTCACTGACTTACCTCAAAGTGTGTCAAAACAAGTAGCAGCACACAAGATCAACTTACTTGGATCCTTGTCAGTTTCCCTGAAAACCTTAGTACTTGGAAATCAATCCTTTTAATATGCCCAACTGGGAATAAGGGAATCAGCTTTAGATTCATATATTAGAATAATAATAGCTAAATGTAAAAAAATCCATTTATACTGATATCTTCTAATTATGTCTAGAAGAATATAAAGCCTATTTGGTGACAAAGAGAATTCAAATAAACAGTCTGCAATGATGGGTTAAAATGGCAACCTATTCATAGACAGGCACAAATTTTGTCTTGTACTTTCCCCCATGGGCTTTCTTTTTCGGCTGCTGGAAGGATGCTAGATTTCTTTAGCAGTACCTCTTGAAGCTTAAGATGGTTCCGCAGACAAACAGGCCATCCCCAGTGCAGGCTCTGGAAGGATCAAGGAGGAAGAAGCAGGGAGGGGCAGCCCCATCTGCACTCATCCAACTTCGCAGCATTTTCAGCACTCCTGAAGGAATGATGTTCAAACCGACCAAGCCGGCAGAGACTAGTTGCTGCAGGTTCAATAGCAAGCAGCTTGGAGGTGAATTTTATGACTTTTTGCATTTACACAGATGTATTTGAATGAATAAATTCTACATTGCTACTGTCAGCTTGTTTTTCTGCCTTGAAGAAATCTGCTTTGCATTTTAACAGATGCCATACTAAAAGGTGTATTTTACAGATCCAAAGATGTGACCGGGATATTCAAAATCCTCCTCCGGGGTAATTTGTTTTTGGAAAAGTGTTCAGAATGAAAATTTTGATCCCTATAGCAGCACTTTTTTGTTCCCTAAAAATATAAAGTAATGTGTTTATTATACAGGAAACCAGACAGTTGAGGCAGAGTGTGGTCACCTGCCTCACGGCACTTGGTTGTTCCCTCCAGGGAATGGCATGTCGGGGCGCTCCAATGGGACAGGTACTGCCAAACAGGAGGCCCCAGGGACAGTCTGGAGGCCCTCCAGCTCCCTGGAGGCCGAGTCAGTGGAGATGGATCTGAGTAGTGAGTAGATGTTCTGTAAACCTCTCCTTTCAATTTCTCAGAAAGAGAAAAGTCCAAGCACAAATCTGTACATACAGAAATTCTACACAGCTCAAAATACCGGAAACTGGTGTACTGCAGATGGCTGGGGTTAGCACATGGAAAAGAAAATGGAAATTGTGTAGGAGGGGAGCAAATAAAGGAACTGGTGGTTAATGTAGTCCTTGACATGCTCCGTGGAGTCATCTGTTGAAAGAGAACCAAAGAGAACACAGGAGTTAGAGAACCTAGTAGAAATTTACTCCTCAGAAATATTTTTTAAAAATTCTACAGTTTTAGATCAGAGCTGTCTAAAACAAATAGAACATAAGTCATATATTTAATTTCCCACTGTCCACAATCAAAAGTGAAAGGAAACAGGTAAAGTTAATTTTTATAATATAGTTTATGGAGCCAAATAGATTCAAATATTGTCACTTCAACATGTAATCAATATCACACCCTCTCCTGGAAGTGTTTACAATCTGGTTGTATTTTTCACTTTCAGCTCGTCTCAGGAGGGACTTAGCCACATTTCCAGGCCTCACTGGACATGTGTAGCTAGTGGCTAACGTACTGAACAGCACAGCCTCCTGTGTCCTGCTCTTACGTGTTTTGTCCTGACATAGTCTCAGCACTTTCTTCTGAAAGTCAGTCCGTGCTGAACCTATCTGGAGTAATACAACGCACGTTCTCAACTCTAAAGGAGGAGCAGAATCCAGTGCTACTTGCCAGCATGTGGCCTCACCAGGTAGGTCAGGCTTAGCTCCTAAACAGGCTCCTTACCAAGAGCTTCCCACTTCTGAAACACACACTTCACCCATGAAGTAATGAGGTGTCCAGTAAGGCACCCCTTTGACTTCACTTCCCACCAGAGGTTCTGTTCATGGACAGGTTTCTAGGATGACAGCTTGGACCAGTCGTGACTCAGAGACTATCTTTGAGCAACCTTTTTCAGCCTTTGGACTGACTCCCATAAGTTCAGTTTTCAGGTGACACCGAAAAATTCAATTTCCTTTCACCAGCTGGAAGGCCTGGGTCTGTCTGTATGTGTCTGTATGTGCATTTCGTACCGAGCTTGGAGGATAGTGACAGGAAACATGCAGAGCAGCTAGAGCCTCATGCTTGAGAAACTAATGGAAATTTCTAGTCCAAGAAATTCCTGATGCCAAGAAAAAGCCAACTTTTAACTTAAAAGCACTCCTTAACCTAATACTTCATACTTCCTGTTTCACCTCTAGAAGGCTTCTGTACAAATTTGATGCTCAACTGTAGTAAATGTCTCAGATTCCTGCTATAATACTCTCCTTGTTTTTTTCTCTTCACTCTTGATTTATAATACTGTAAGCATCTTCACATATTTTGTATAAACAAACACGATGTAAAATACTTAAAAGTAGAAAAATTCACCCCTGGAAAGGGGTTTTAAAAATAGACAAGAGCCAGGCATGGTGGCGCACACCTGTAATCCCAGCACTCTCAGGAGGCTGAGGCAGGAGGATCACTGTGAGTTCGAGACCAGCCTGGGCTACGTAGTGCGTTCCAGGTCAGTCATACTATATAGTGAGACCCTGTCTCAAAAAAACGATAATAAATAAGTGAATAAATAAATAAAAATAGACAAGAACAAAGTAGGTGAAAAAAAGAGAATTTGAGTAGGAAAATGACAGAGAGAACTCTTGAGCTGGGGATTTAGCTCAGTGTTGCCGCCACCTACCTCACAAGCACAGGGTCTGAAGTTTAATCCACGGTACCCCCCAAAAAAAACCCAAAAAATAAACAAACAAAAAAAGAATACCAACTGTTCCCTGACACAAAAAATTATAAATATTCATGGAAATCATTTGGGAACCACCTTTCTCACTCCAACAGTATCATCTCCCACAATTACAGAGCTCTCCAATTAAAAAGACTTTAAACAACATGACACAGTGATGGTCCTGTCATTTTTAGAAGCCAGACAGAGAGAGATTAGTCTTTGGGAAAAGCATATTTAACACTTAGCCATTCTGGGGAGATTCTGTGCTTCTTCTTAGGTCCAGAAATGGTAGTTACAGCTGTCATTTAAAATCCATTTCAAATGGAAAACCAATGGAAATGCATTTTGAATACCAGCACTGAATCCCCTTTTCACTTTGTACAGGTTCATTTTCTGGGCCCAGTATTAGCTTGATGTAGTGACTGCAGCCAACCTGTGTTGACACAGCAAGCATTAGACACACAAACTCCCCGGTGTGGCCTCAATAACTCCAGCAGACCATGAAGTGACACGATTTCCACCAGAAGACCTTCCATTCAAATGCCACCCCCACCCCCATGTGCAAGACCCAGCATGCTTGGGTTAACAGTTTGAGAGAAATCGGGGGGCACAATCTGCTTAACTTAGTCAAGGAGAGTGAGAAAGGAGACCCGGAATTGTGATATTTGCTAAACAAATGGAAAAGGATAGCAACTGCATGGAGTCCTTTGTTTACTATGCAGTTATTCTGCTCCATCCTGAGTTTAGGATCTTTATGGCTCTGTCTGGGGTCTTTCCTGCAGGCCTAAGAAAAACGGGATTCCACACATCCTCGTCACTATCTGGATGCCCATCTCCTCAGAAAAATTCAGGAGGGAAAATGGATATACATTTTAAAGGCAAATAGATTCACCCCAAGAGAAGCTATTTCTGCTGTCCCATTGAAGAAAGGCTAAGAATTCTTGAGATCACTTTACACCCAGGTCAGCTGACCCTCCCTTAGCGAGTTCAGAGAAGTCACTCACTTGCCTAGTGGCAGAGGACTGGACCCACTAGCTGACTAGCTCCAAGTCTCTGCCGAGCTGGGGATGGTAATTCAGACTGGCAATGTGTGACCAGTTTTAGAAGGAAGTAAAATCGACTTTTCTTTAAAAGGGTTGGGGAAGGCTGAAGAAAGAAGCTGATTACACATAAGGGTTTTGCAACAAGTATTTAGAGATTCCAACCCTTCAACTTTGCGTTTTGCAATTGCTTGCAGAGGATTTAAGCTTAATCCAAACAGTACATAGTTTTATCTTTTCTTTTGCCTTTCTACAGTTCAATCCCCACATTATAAGAATTACCATTTTTACTTTACTGATCACCACTGCAGAGAAGTGGATTTATCTCCTTGAAGCTTTGGTGTAGCCTGCTGGGCAGGAACTGTTTGAGTTTCCCAGAATTTGACTCTGAGAAACATGAAATTGATAATTATTAAAGCATAGCTGCCTACTGCACTGTAGAAAAGTTAGGAATTTTTTCTTGTAGGTATTCGTGAGTCCTCCTTTAGAACTCAGGATTCTAGTTTCAAAATCCTAGGCTTCAGTAGTTCCCGTCCAGTTATCTCTGTCCTCTCTTCCTGCAGTTCCACTTCATCTTTTTTTTTCTTTTCTTTTCTTTTCGGAGGCTGCTGAGGGTCAAACCCAGGGCCCCAGTCATATTGGGCAAGTGTTCTACCACTGAGCTACAATCCCGGCCTCCACCTCGTCTATTCTTGTCAGGCTGGTCTCCACACTCATCGCAACATTAGCTAACATGCCGGGATTGGTGAGGATGAGTGAGGGAATATTTTTGCCAGGGACTCTTCCCAGATTCTGGTTTTCTCTTCTTTCACATCACCCTATTTCATTCCCAGAGAAGCCTATGATGTCAGTACTGTGACCCTAGCTTCTCCACCCCACAGTCTTAGCTGTTTAGTGCCCAAGAATCTTGTCTGGAGTGGGTGGCCAGGTTCTCTTCACATACGTCTCTAAAATGACACACAACAAACAGGCAATGCAGAGGTACCCAGGGGAATCCAACTGTCACCCATTAAGCCAGACAGCAATGAGGTTTACAAAAAATGTAAAACAATGCCATTTTCCTAGGGTTTTAAAAATAGTCACTTGTCATAAAAAATGGCATTTATGGTAACGTGTGTGATGGGCTTCTTGCATTTTTAAATGAACCTGGCAATATTTTAATTTTTGATACACAAGAATAGGTATAACTCGTATTAAAGCCCTTTGATGATCCTTTCAAAGAGAATAAAGAGTCCTACTGCCAAAAAAACTTAGCTGCTACACAGAAGACCAGAGTCCTTGATCTGGGATCTATTACTAACGAACTACGGGATCCCAAGGGCTCATCTCTCCTCTTGAAAATACAGAATGAGGAGACCAAATGAGCGGATGCAGACAAAACAGACTAGCACTGAGTGTCTGCCCCGGGCTGGGCAGAGTCTACGCTTCCTATATGCGCTAACACATTCGGTCCTCAAAGCCACCCTGCAGGTAGGTGCCGGCCATATTTTAGAGGAGGACACTGAGGCAGAGAGATGAAGTAAATCACCCGGTTTGTGACAGTGTTCAAAACCAGAGGCCAGCAACAGATCCCGAGCCCATAATCACCCAGCTCCCGAGACTACAGCCACAAATCCTCTCTAAATGCACACATTTGTGAGTCAATCATTATTCCTAGGATTTTCTAACAGAGGCAGCAAGATGAATGGCTCGGTGGCTTAGATATGGATCACGTGTGGCCGCAGGGCCCACCTGTCAGAAAAGGTCCTTGGGCTTCACCATTTCAGAGGCTGCATCTGACAGCTATCCCCTGCCCATCTTCCATGTGTGGTGTGGCTGGAAGTCAACTTGTGCATTTTGGGTAGATACCATATTTAATCGTGATGCAGAGGTCCAAACCAGGAAAAAGGCTGTGAATGCCAACAATGGTACAGGAGAAGATGGAGTCAGATATTTAACAGAGAAAACCAGATGGGAACATGGGGAGTGGGTCAGAGAAGCAAACGGACGAGAGAATGAATGGCTTCACGCCAGCTGGGGAAGCTCCGCTTGGACCCAAAGACAGATGAAAGACCCGAACAGAAGGGCTGGCTGTGGTAGTGGTCAAGTGCTTAGAAAAGAAACACTATTCTGCCTAGGGTGAAATGAAGGAATCGTGTGGGGCAGGGCTCAGGGTTGAAAGAAGGGTGGAAGTTCAAAGAAAGGGGAGCGCAGTGACCTAACTAAACCAAAATTATAAGGCCTCGGCCAAGGGCTGTGAATGTGATGAAATGCCCAACAGAACTCAGAGTCGAGGAAATCTGAGAGTTAAGTGCTGGGTTAGAAAATATTGGATTTCCCCTCTCTGCTATACAACTGGAATTTACCCCTTCGGGTGTAGTTTAATATGACAGGACTTCTAGGAAAAGAAAATAATATGTGCACTCCAA